CCCCCCCCCCCCCCCCCCCCCCCCCCCAGATATTTATCCACCAAAAACGAAAATCTGTCTCTGTCGTGGGTAACTGTTGCGAAAGGATGAGGACCCCAAATATGTGTCTCACTTGCTGTCCAATGTTGTATCATGTTTAAGATAGATTATTGATGCTCATATTTATTTTGTGGTAAACTGTTTCAGGTAAGTGTTCAGGAGGCCTGAAACGCTGTGCTAGATGCAGAGTGACGTATTATTGCAGTAAAGAATGCCAAAGAGAACATTGGAAGAAGGGCAACCATAAAGCAGTTTGTGAAGAAGGTGTTCTTGCTGAACCAGGAAGATTTTCTGGTTATCAAATGACATTTATGAATGTTTTACAATCACAAAAGCCACGTGTTGCCTTCTTTGGTGGCGAAACAAACGAATACTGTGCATCACAGAGTCCACCAAAAGCCAAAAGATTTGTTGTTAAAGTTCAAAGACCAATAGATTCTCCAATGACCAATGGGGACTTACCACATAAAGACTTAATGGTCTACAATGTAGATCGGTCTGTTGATTTGTTTATCAAAGAAGAGACTCCAGGTTATGACAAGATTTTAAAGAAAATTGTTGATGAAGGGATGTATGGTTTGAAAGCATATTTCTGGGCTGAGCGTGTGTCGGGTGAACAGAATCTGGTCAAAGTGTTTCCTGCTAAACTAGCACCTGTCCAAGAGTGGTAATATTGCTTTGGTTAAAAGTGTTTTGTTGAGAGGATACAATATATGTCATAGAAAAATATACATAAATGATAATATAAGACAACCTTGGTTGTCACTGAATTTTCTCAAGTTTGTACTGTACCGTAGAGTATAATATATTGAAATGTTATTTTACTGAACTATTTGAGTGGCATAAATGTCAAGAAACTGAAAGTAGTTTATTTCCTTTGGTTGTTTATCAACAGTGAGCTGTCTTGAGCTTATGTTTCTAGGTGGTGGCTACAGGTGAATATAACAAAACCGAAATTTTCAAAATGGCGGCTAGCCGTTTTGTGGAAGTTACTGATAAAGAAATAAGCGAAATTAAAACAAATTTAGGCCCAAAAACACAAAAGACTTGTGTAAAAATACTAAAACAATTATTCGCCTCAGGCTCGGTGATTATTGGGGAATATTCACCTCAACTTCGTTTCGGCGAATATTCCCCGATAATCACTTCGGCGAATAATTCAGTTAAATAATGGAAGAAAAGCTACTCCCTTTACTCCCTTTACCCACCCATAGATATCTCATATACACTAGATAGCGCATCTCGGAATACAAAACTGAAGCCAAAAATCTCAGCGGTTTCCCCCATGAAAATAGGCGGCGGCCATATTGGTCGTTCCCACTCATCAATGAAATGCTATGGAAAATACTATACTTTTCGAGGCTTTTTTGCATTTCTGGATTAAAAATACCTTTTTGAGGTACGTTCGCCTTG